GGTAAATCTGAAGCTACCAGAGTTCCAAAAAACTACAGATATAATTGATTGTTACAGGAAGAATTCCTTTTTACCCTGGAAACCTTGTACATGTTGTAAAGTGGACCCACACACTTGACACTTAGATGACATGGATTTGAACTGTGTGGATCCGTTTATACACAGATTTTTTCCTCATAGGTATACAGTACCTGTAATTGGATGTAAAGCAGCAGACTCCACTGGTGTTATGGTAGATAGAAATGGAAAAGGAAATATGTTGTACATAGCGGCCTGTACTGGGTCTGAACCCATGCCAACTGAGCTAACTGGCCACTGTCTGGACCAGAGAGAAATCCTGGGATCTGAGAATGGCAGAGGAGCAGAGGCCTGGGTCCGGCAACTGGAAGGAAGCAGAGAAACTGCCCCTTTGAAGCGCTCTTCTCCCCCCTTGATCTACCTGCAGGCAGGCGTTAAACCTGGCAGGGACCAGTAGAGCAGCTAATTCACTCCCCTGCGTGTTCTCTTTTTCTCTATTGGACTCTAAAATTCCCCCATTTCTTTTCTACTTTTCTTTTCTTTGTTGCATCTGAAGTTAATTGACCCATTTTGTATATGGTAGGGTATTTAGTAGCTAAGTTTCGAGAAGTCAAAAGTTATACCAAGATTTTCAACTTCTTGGTGGGTCGGCACCCCTAGCCCCGGTGTTGTTCAAGGGTCAGCTGTACTTCAAGGTCCTCTGCTAGATTCCGTAGAATCTCAACTGATCCTTTATTGTTGCAGTGATTTCACGTGAGTTAACTTCAAATTAGTGGCCCAAGACGTTTTAGTCCAGATAGAAATCCTTACTTTGGAAAATAAAAACTGTAATAACAAGATAATTGCTAGACTAAAGATCACTTAAAACAACCAATTTGCAAAATAACCATGTCGTTGTGAAATGATTACATACATTTGTAGCAAAAGAAAGTATGAAGTCAGGTAGAATGAAGAAACAATATTAAAGAGAAGAAACTATATGGAATCACTATTCAGAATCTTCTCCTAGCTAAAAATACCTAGTTAAGATTTACATTCACACATATATGTTTTTGACATAATATGCAGTGACACCTAGAATGAAAACTTGGATATTACTAATTTTTAAGTACTCTATCTTTGAAAATTATTAAACCCACTCTTTTTGTGCTCATTATAGTCTTCTAGAATGTTGAGCATTTTAGTAAATCTAAGGATCGTTCTGAATAAAAACTCTGCTTGTATGTTCTCTTAAACCCTTAGAGTGTTAATAGTAGGTAAGTTATTATCAGTGAACTTGTTTTCCACATCTTCATTTTAATTTTAGCTAAGAAACATTTTTCTCTCTTCTTGTAACTTAAGGTTACTATGAATTTTGAGGAATGAAAGTAAAAGCAATGGAGAGAAAATCTTTTCTATGAGCAGATGGCTTTTGATATATCAAGGTTTTGCCATTTGTTTTAGTGCTTAAAATAAACATTATTTATAAGACCACTTACATTTTGATGTTACTTAATGAGGAATATGCATCATTGATTTGACTAGCTTAAGAGGTCATTTAGAACTTGCCCGTTAACAAGCTGTAATCTGCTGAGCACACAATGACTTTGTTTAAAATTATCTATTCAGAGCTGATCAATGACAATAATTGTTTTATACCAATCACTTTTGAAAGTTGCTAATTACTTTGAAGGACATGAAGACCAGCCTTGTTTTTTAGAAGTCATAACCCATTCACCTTGAACTGAAAAAGAAATGTTATCGAAAGTCATCTTGCCCCGTGAAAGTACTTTTTTAAAATTAAAAGTTTTTTCACTAGTACTGGGGTATAAACTGGAAATTCAGACAAAATTTAAGATGTTTTTGTTACTATAACAGGAAGTATAGTAGAATCTCAGCTGTTTTCTGTCTTACTATATCATTTAGCTGTTGGTTAAATCTGACTCCTTATTAGAAAATGGTATCTGTTAAGGAACACATACAATCTTCCTCTTTACATCTGTAAGGTGTTTAGTGGGAAAAGTCTGTCTTTAGAGTAAGACAGGGCTGGGTTGGAATCCTGACTCTGCCATTGACTCTTACTGGTTATGTGAACTTGATCAAGTTACTTAACCTCAGTGTCTTCATTTTTAACACGGAGATCATGCCCTGTTCACAGGGTTGTATGAGAATTAAAGCAGTTAGCATAATACTCGGCACATTCATGGACCTCAATAAATTTTAGACCTCTCACTTCACCAGTTGGCAGCATTTTCACCCAGTCAGATGCCTAATTTCTTTGCTGCTCTTTTACTCACCTTTAATAAAGCCAGTTAAGATGGATTGATTTTACTTTAATATGGACGAGTTGTAATTTGTTACCTTAACCATCCCTTCTTGTGTGCTTTAGTGCCCAATTGTGAATAAAGGAGCTGTCTTCCAAAGGCACTGTGCCTGGCCTTGGGTAGGCGTCCAGGGAGGCAGGACACCGGAAGCCCCGAGGACGCACTGACTGTTTGCAGGTGCGGTCGGTGCTGCTTCTAGTACGTGTTGGGTTTGGAGCAGGAAGGAGCTCATGCCACTGGTTTCTTTTAGTACGTTCTCTATTGGCACAGCTTTTTAAGCCAATTCAATTTTTTGTAACTTCAGACATTTTTCTCACAATGGGCATCCCCGCTGCCCCGGTGTGATCCGGTCATAAATTACCATCTTCCCGTTTTACCTCTCAGTATTCCAGCGTGTGTCTTTCATGTTTTCTGGCACACTTCATCTTATTTTATTTAGAATTTAATGATTTCATGTGATAGGTAGTCCCTCCCTTACTGCTATTTGATATCCTAGTGCTTTCCTATACTTCCTGACTCTCTTGTATTGCCGATGATGGATTTTTCTGTCAGTACTTTCGTTTACAAGTGTTCTTTAGTACAATTATGACTACATACAATAAAAGTATGCTGAAATATTTGAAGCCATGAAACCAGCTGTGTCTCTTTAGGCAATTATTAGGCTAAGTATCAATTTCTTGTTATATCAATTTCTTGTTATCTCTACCTCAGAATGACACTGTAATAAAATTAGGTAAGCCAGAAAATACCCATTTACTTGCATGTATGATTTATACATGTATACATATTCCAATTGTTTATTCGTTTTGATTAGGAAAGTGGTTTGCATCATTCCTCATCTTTGTCAGCAGTAATATGATTTTGGTTAAATTAGAGGGAGATTTTGAAATTGTGTATATAATTTTAAAAAATTATTTTTTCTTTATTTAAGCAATTAATCTCTAAAATAAGATCATTTAAAAATATTTGGAGAGACACATTCTATAATGTTACCCTTGCTATTCTTAGTTTTACTTTTTAGAATTACTGTCTCTGATTTAACTACCTACAAGCTGTTTTGCACATCTGCCAATTATTTTAGTCATTCTCATACTGAGGTTGACTGAAACACTTCAACATCTTCACATTTAATATCTGAGGTTGTAAAATACCTTTTTAAGACAAAGAAAAATAATGAATCAGAATATAATTCAAACATTTTTCTTGCTTATTTTTATAGATCCAGCTTTCACAAGTTATAAACATTTTTAATTGAACATATTTAGTTTAAAAGGCATGGGCTTTGGGGATAAAACCCAATAGACTTAAGTATATAGTCTCTATATTATTTACATTTTCCTATTAAAAGAAAATGTTTAGTATAGGATATAACCAATAGTAATGTATGTAATTACCAAGTCACTCTATGTTGCACATCTGAAACTAATCTAATATTGTGTATCAACTTTGTTCCAATAAAAAATAATGTTTAGAGAATACATGTGTGTGATTTTACCTTAGCTAACTATGCAAAGCATTGTAAGGACTTCATATCCAAACAGAGATTCACTTATAATATGTACATAATTCATAAATAGATGTAAACTGCTGGAAAATTTGAGGGAATGAAGTTAGATCTTTATGCAAGATGAAGTTAATGGGTTTGTTTTTTCAGTTTTTGCTATGCTATTTCTTCTTCCTCTACTCTTTTAAAGGGTTGAGGTATTCTCTTTTTTCATTTTCCATAAAATTAAGATCTATACATTATTATTTTTGTCTTGAGTTTTTCTAATAGAGTTGTATTAGTGAAGAAAGAGCATAAATAGATTTATTCTCATGCTTTCTGCACATTATAAGGTATCTAGTAGCCTACTTAATTATTTTCTGTTAGAGCCTGAACATCCCTCTCATCTAAAAAAATCCAGATACTGTCAATGAAAATGTTCATTCACTGAAAATTGAAGTTCACTTTATTCCCAGTTCTATATTGCAGAGATGTGGAGAATGTGCTCTCTGAAGGTCTAGTTTGATTCCTGGATCCATCACTAATAGCTGTATAATTATGGGAAAATTATATAACTTATCTTTTTAGCAGTTTTCTCATCTATAAATAAGTTGGTAAGAGTATCTCATAGAAGTGTTCCAAAGATTAAATGCATGTTCAAGCTAAGCTTTTAGAATAGCCTCCCACATAATAAGAACTCAATAAACATTAGCTATTAATATTATTAAAGAAGTATTAAAATGTCATGACGAAGATAAAAGGCAACGTTTTGCTTAAAGACTTTAATACCAGTGAATTTAAACACCCCATTTAAAATATCAATTTCAGTGAGATCAAATACAAATCTTCAAGCCAGTTGGTACTGAACAATAGAAAGTTGGTTTGGTCAGAAAGTGGAAATGACAGGAATTGGTAAAACAAATTTTTAATCATTCAATAGTTAATTTCACATCTAGTACTTATAAATAATTATAAATGTTTTAAAATAAATTATAATAACCTGTAAGTAGGATTTTATTGTTACAATATTTTATTATAAATCTGAGTACAACCTACATTAATAACTATATATACTGTTATATTAGTGGAAAATCCTAAGACTGTATTTCATATGAGTAATCATCCATCACTACCTTGATTAATGTTCATTACCTTGAAAATATTCACTGGCATATTCTATCTTTTTATTTCAATAGATTCAGAAGCGATGGCGAGGCTATAAGATTCGGAAATACTGCTTTAATTATTTTTATTTGAAGGAATACCTGAGAGCTGTTTCAGAGAACAATGATGCAATTAGGTGGGTAATATAATCTCTGATTTCCTAGTGAAAATTCTAGGAAGGCTACTCACTGAATGTTGATCATTAACATACTTAGGAATACTTTCTGAAACTCAGTGATATTTTAGACAGAAACATTGATGAGATGGAGATACCTGATTCTGTTTACCTTAAAAATTTATTTTTGTTTTATTTTTAAATATCTTTACTCTTAACTGTAAATCAGGTTATTTATGTATGTAGCAGGCCCATCTTGGGTATGCAGAATAGGTCAGTTGTAGTAATATTATCCAATCTGAGGTAATTTATCTGTAATTTGATTCCAAAGATGAAACTTTAAGTATGATAAGCCTAAGATATATTTTGAGAAACATGTTCAATAGCAAAAACTTGCATCTCAATGGAGAAAATATGGAGTATATTTAAATGGACTGCTTTACTGTCAGTTTTTATGTCACTGAACACATAGAAAGATAGCACCTGGATTTAGGCCTAGGATGATGTCCTCTGTAGGTTTCTGCAGAATAAAGTTGTAATACTACTGAGTCAGCTTTACTAAGGTTCTATGTATTAATTCTTAATAATTACTTCAAAAATAGTGTTTTCCTCTTGTAATGTGCCCCGTTCTAATAACATATGTGACCATATGTCTGTAATATATTTAGGTAAAAAGGAAATAATAATTAATAATAGTTGGCATTTATGTCATTGTTTTAATTTTTCCACATATTTTATTTTACTCTTAAAATTCTTTGAGCCAGAGAAAACAATTGTCAATAAATTGTTAAAAGTCTTGTCTCAGACCATAAAATTATATATATTCTAAGAAATATCTACTAATTTCCAGCTTTCAAATTTCTCACATACGGTGTGCATATAAAAGAAAAGATCTGCACTCTGGAGAGTGCAGTATAAGGAATTTGTGAAGTTCATTACTCTGGAAACAGCAATAAAGGTTTGAGGAAGTTGCCGCAGGCTTTCCTCAAAGGGAGAAGTTGGAAAACTCAGAAACATGAGGACCATAGGGCACTGCTATTTAATTTCTAACTAAGAAATCCAAAGTTGTAGAGATTGGCTGGCTGGCTGCAAATGGCAGACTTGAGCTTGTTAGGGAGAAAGAGCCAGTAGAATATAGAAGAGAAGGAATTTGAGCAGGGCCGGGGCTAGGATGAGGCAGCTGGGGCCCTTATTATCAGCCAGCCCTAAACTTGAACAACCCTGAGAGTGCGCCCTTAAATCTGACATTTTAGAGGCCTCACGTGCTGCACCCTGGTCCCATTCCTGAAAAGGAGAAGGTTCTCAAAGCAGCAAACGTGAGGAGCAGTTTTGGAAAGGCCTGTATCTTCTATTCAGCACGTGTTTCCATTAATCCTTGTTTTCTTTCTGATTTTATTGGCAGTATCTCCACTCACCAGAAAGTCTGTTCTATCAGTGCTGATAATTAGGTTTAGTGTGGTATTCTTTATCATATAACAAATATATTCTTTATTTCTACAACTCTTAAGAGTTTTTAAGCCAGAATATAAATTGAATGTAACAAATGCTTTCCATGATCAATCAATATAATTATATATAATGTTTCTCCTTTTTGACCTGTTAACATGTTATAGAATGTATTTTTATTAATAGATATAATACTGGGCCATGGCTTTTCTTCTGATTAACATGAAATTATATCAATATTTTATACAGGATACTTATATGTACTTTTGTATGCATGGTTAGTTGTAATTTTCTTTCTTGTGTTGCAATTCATGTTTCTTGTTATCAGATTTTTACTGTATTTATTAGATTAATTGAGTTATTATATGGCATGGGGATTATTTATTGAAAAGGAAAACCACCTCTGTTTTATGTCTACTCAACACTACTCTCAACACATCTGATCACCAAATATGTGGGTTTTCCATATCAAGCAATTCTCAGATACCAGCTAAGTGTCCTATAATTTAGCTCAGTTCTGATATTATCTGCCTGGAAATAGTCAGATCCTTGAAGTTAAAGGCTCAGTCTCACAAGACTGTTTCCCTGTACCCCCAACTTCAGATGCCAGTTATAAATCCCTATTGTAACTCTGGGTCCCTAAGTTACCCACAATTTCTGTCCAACGTGGCTACAAATTAGACTCCCAGGACTTCCTCCTGAGGAATTATTAGCTAAACTTCCAGCCCCTCTCCCCATGCCAGAGGTCCAGGGGGTAAAGCAGGAAGTTCCAATCTCCTAATCACATGATTGTTTCCCCTAGTACATAGCCCCCAACCTGAAGGAACTCCAAGCTACTGGTCATCTAATTAACATGTAAAAAGACACTACTTTGAAAAATTCCAAAGGTTTGGGGAGCTGTGTACCAGGAAACAGGGATGAAGACCAAATACATATTTTTTATTATAAATCACAATAGGTACAACTATGTTAATATTAATTTTGTGCCTAGGTTAAAGTCTCTCATGAGACTGCAGTCAGAGCTGCAGTCTTATGTGAAGGCTCAACTGGGGGCAGATCCACTTCCAAGCTCACTCACATGGCCTCACTTTCCGTAGCTGTTGGCCACTTGTGCCCCTTAGTTTCTTGTCAAATATGGTTCTCTATAGGGCTGTTCATAACATGTAAATAGGCTTCCCTCAGTGTGAGTGAATGAGAGAACACGTAAAGCATCCAATATGGAAGCCATCGGCTTTTGGTAACCTAATACCAGAAATGCCATCCCATCACATTTTCTTTATTCTATTCATTTGAAGCAAGAGTCTAGGTCCATCCAACAGTCAAGGGATGAATACCAGAGCAGGGATGTTAGAGGCTATTTTAGAGGCTACTTTCTACACTGAGTGACTTGCATAAAGTATTTACTCAATAAGCATGCTGATTTACAGCATTTTGCCTTAGACAAAATTTACTCTGCATTTACTTATGGCAATAATTTTATGTGATGTCTTTACAAAATTATGTTTCAAATTTTGAATTGTGTTAAAGCAATTATGATTTATCCTGATTACTGATCCAAGCAATCACTAAAATGTATAGTTTCTGAATTCCAAAGAGAATATGAAAGATCAGGTACATTTCTCTGTCTTTGGGTAGGGGAAAGTCATTTAAAGAAAATGTTTAGTATAGGATATAACCAATAGTAATGTATGTAATTACCAAGTCACTCTATGTTGCACATCTGAAACTAATCTAATATTGTGTATCAACTTTGTTCCAATAAAAAATAATGTTTAGAGAATACATGTGTGTGATTTTACCTTAGCTAACTATGCAAAGCATTGTAAGGACTTCATATCCAAACAGAGATTCACTTATAATATGTACATAATTCATAAATAGATGTAAACTGCTGGAAAATTTGAGGGAATGAAGTTAGATCTTTATGCAAGATGAAGTTAATGGGTTTGTTTTTTCAGTTTTTGCTATGCTATTTCTTCTTCCTCTACTCTTTTAAAGGGTTGAGGTATTCTCTTTTTTCATTTTCCATAAAATTAAGATCTATACATTATTATTTTTGTCTTGAGTTTTTCTAATAGAGTTGTATTAGTGAAGAAAGAGCATAAATAGATTTATTCTCATGCTTTCTGCACATTATAAGGTATCTAGTAGCCTACTTAATTATTTTCTGTTAGAGCCTGAACATCCCTCTCATCTAAAAAAATCCAGATACTGTCAATGAAAATGTTCATTCACTGAAAATTGAAGTTCACTTTATTCCCAGTTCTATATTGCAGAGATGTGGAGAATGTGCTCTCTGAAGGTCTAGTTTGATTCCTGGATCCATCACTAATAGCTGTATAATTATGGGAAAATTATATAACTTATCTTTTTAGCAGTTTTCTCATCTATAAATAAGTTGGTAAGAGTATCTCATAGAAGTGTTCCAAAGATTAAATGCATGTTCAAGCTAAGCTTTTAGAATAGCCTCCCACATAATAAGAACTCAATAAACATTAGCTATTAATATTATTAAAGAAGTATTAAAATGTCATGACGAAGATAAAAGGCAACGTTTTGCTTAAAGACTTTAATACCAGTGAATTTAAACACCCCATTTAAAATATCAATTTCAGTGAGATCAAATACAAATCTTCAAGCCAGTTGGTACTGAACAATAGAAAGTTGGTTTGGTCAGAAAGTGGAAATGACAGGAATTGGTAAAACAAATTTTTAATCATTCAATAGTTAATTTCACATCTAGTACTTATAAATAATTATAAATGTTTTAAAATAAATTATAATAACCTGTAAGTAGGATTTTATTGTTACAATATTTTATTATAAATCTGAGTACAACCTACATTAATAACTATATATACTGTTATATTAGTGGAAAATCCTAAGACTGTATTTCATATGAGTAATCATCCATCACTACCTTGATTAATGTTCATTACCTTGAAAATATTCACTGGCATATTCTATCTTTTTATTTCAATAGATTCAGAAGCGATGGCGAGGCTATAAGATTCGGAAATACTGCTTTAATTATTTTTATTTGAAGGAATACCTGAGAGCTGTTTCAGAGAACAATGATGCAATTAGGTGGGTAATATAATCTCTGATTTCCTAGTGAAAATTCTAGGAAGGCTACTCACTGAATGTTGATCATTAACATACTTAGGAATACTTTCTGAAACTCAGTGATATTTTAGACAGAAACATTGATGAGATGGAGATACCTGATTCTGTTTACCTTAAAAATTTATTTTTGTTTTATTTTTAAATATCTTTACTCTTAACTGTAAATCAGGTTATTTATGTATGTAGCAGGCCCATCTTGGGTATGCAGAATAGGTCAGTTGTAGTAATATTATCCAATCTGAGGTAATTTATCTGTAATTTGATTCCAAAGATGAAACTTTAAGTATGATAAGCCTAAGATATATTTTGAGAAACATGTTCAATAGCAAAAACTTGCATCTCAATGGAGAAAATATGGAGTATATTTAAATGGACTGCTTTACTGTCAGTTTTTATGTCACTGAACACATAGAAAGATAGCACCTGGATTTAGGCCTAGGATGATGTCC